CTCCATCTAACTCGCATTGTCTCGCTCACTCGCGACAAATGTGTCTCATTGCTCTCCTCTCCACCCTGCCTCTTACTCTCACTCTCCGTCTCTCTCTTTTTCCCTCCCTCTCTCGGTCTCGATAACTCTCTCTCGTTCTATCTTCAACGGTGTGCATTTCACATGGCACTCTGCTGGCTTCTGCCCTTCTCCAGGCTTCTCTCCGTCTCTCTCTCTATCTCTCCATTGTTCATAATTATACAATACGGCTATTAAACAGACTGATGCGACCGCCACTTCCGGCCGTGGCTGCGCCATTTACGGAAACCACGGGACGAGCACGAGCCCTCCCTCCTCTCTCTTTACCCTCTCCCGTCTCGTTCCGTCTCACTCTCGCGTTCTCGAAATCCCGACCGTCACCTATCCTCCGCGGCCCGTTCCTCCTCGCTCGTGTGCCCTCTTGCGTGCCCTGATTTTTCGACGAGCGCGCGCACGCTTCCCGTCTTTCCACTCGTGCGTTGTTCCGATTTCAGTTTCATCGAGAACACGACTCCTCGCAGAGGCAGATCGAGAGACTACGAAAGAATGACTCTGGCCTCACCTGGACTTTCTCGCTTGCACATCATCGCGAATAGATCCCCGGCAATTGTACTTATCATCCGTGCAACATCGAAACCCGAGTGTCTAATCTAACCTGCGCAGTCGCCTCAGTACTTTACATCGCGGTGCTCGCCACGTTCGCGGCTCATTTGGCCCGTCGCGCTTTCCTTTATCACGCCCGCAAACGAGCCAAGGTCTAACTACGCGCACGTCTCTGTACTTCGTAATTTCTATCCACGCCAACGTCGAGCGTTCCCTTCATGTATCACGTCGCCTGCATCACACACGCGGCCACCCTCCGGCCTTTTTACCCGAGAGCTTTATAATTCCTGTGTTCTCCGGCGATCATTTGCCTGCGCTCTACTGCGGTGTTCGCGCGTTCCCTCTATCTACCCCCCTCCCCCCCCCTCTCTCTCTCTCTTTTTCTCTCTCTTTGCGACCGCCGTCTCCTCCATCTCCTCTTTTTTTTTTCGCGTTACGCGCGGTGAATCTTTTTCCCCGGGACCGGCATTGCGCATTAACGTGTTTAATGCGATTTGAATGGGCGTGCTTTGGATGAACACGACGGGCAACCGACTGGTGCCCTCCACCCGGGGAGAGAACGAGTCAGTTTTAATGGGTGAAAGGCGGGCACTGAGCTGACGGTCCAATGGATCGAGAGACGACCACGGTGTACGCCTCTGTGGGTGCGATTACCTATGCGGCTGTGTGCGTGTCTTAGACAGCGTGTACTTGTACAGACGTTTAACGTGTGTGTGTATGTTGTGCGTACGTGCGTGCGTGCGTGCGTGCGTGCGCGCATGTATGCCTGCCGCGGGTTCACGCCGTTCTCCTTGCAACCGATTGCCGCGGAATACCATTCAACCAAGTTCTGCGTAGCCATCAATTCGTATGTACTTTGCAACCGCAACGACCAATATCACCCTGTAGCTTCGAGATACAACAATGAATGCCCTGTGTTCCTAAATCTATTTTTTATCGACTTTTTCTTATTCACTTTTTCTTTTCAATTTGAAAGCAAATTTGATCTAGCATCGGTTGTTCCGATTCTGAGTGGATATTTGGCCGAAATTGCTGCGATTGAATTACTCCAGTTGATTAGCTTCCCTGATTGAAATTTATCGTTTATATTAGTGATACGATATGAACATTTGGCCATTTTTTCATGCTTCCTCTACGCGTTTGCAAATTTTCCTGTAGGTGGAGGGAAATTATGTTGATCGCTGCGGCAGGATTGATAATAAATCGTCGTGTATACGCGAATCGCCGGTTAAACGAGAAGTATATACTATAGACCGTGAAGGAAGGTAATGCGTACTTCGTGCGTGACGCGGAGCGGTAGACAAAAAGTGCAGCGGCGAACATGAAATTCGGCACGGCAGTTGCTGGAAGCCCACCTCCGTCCGTCGACGGGGTGTATCCTCGATTTTAATGCCCGCGCGCGCGCGCGCGCACGCACGTTCTCTTTTCTTTTTTCCCTCAATTTCCGATTACCGCGCTCTGTCCTCACCACATGTCGTTTACGTCGAATTACCGAAAATTACGGGTTAGTCCTAATGTGAGAATTAAAGCGTACGCCGGGTGCTACCTCTTCCAGATCCGACGGGATGTCGCAAAAGGAACCGAAGGGTCAACACGGCAAGGGGCAAAGAACAGGGTTACTGAAGAAGGTCAGGATGCTCAATACCTCCGAGTACGATAGCGGCCTCGAACCCCTGAAGAAGCCAAAGAAGTAATCCGGAGCTTCGCGCTGACACGTTGTAAACAAAATCAGATTCACGCCTTGTAAATACGCATTCGCACGATTTTATCTCTTTTGTGGCACTTTAAACATTTTGTTACAATATATTAAATTTTTTAATTTCTCTGTTCGTATTTATAATTTATATCCCTGACTATCTGGACTAATTTTACTTTTTGAATGTCTTTTTTAGGTAAACGCATGTCACTGCATAATATTTCTATACCCATTTTTACAATGCTTACGATATTTTGAATTTTTGATGCTCTGACAATTTTTTAATATATTTCAGAAATTTTTAACTGCCCGGAAGAGGAACACCTACATACATTCTCTACATAGTAGAGAATTTTATGTTAAATTTGGCACATTTCACATGTCCCAAACGGTTTACTCAAATTTTTGTGTTAATTTAACACAAAATGAATATATTTAAAAATAATACAAAATATTATGTCAGAAATTAACACAAAATTAATATGTTAATCGACACTGAAATATAAAACACGTTATTTTACCATTTACACATGTTGAATATCGACGCAACACAAAATGTTAAGATAATCTAAACACAATTTGTTAAATTATCACACGGATACGTTAAAATTTAACAGAAAAATGGATATAATGCCCGATTTTAACAGAAATACAAAATGTCTTTTATTGTAACTTTGGAAGTGAATGCTTCCACTTCCAGGATCTCCAGTTCACTTCAACCGTGATTTCTACCTCAACGTGTATTTGCAGTCGCGAAATCGTTTAACATCATTTCCATAATGATCTCCAGTTTCACCATGATTGTTACTAATCAGCGATAAATACGTTGCGGCAAAATGCGGCACGACGAAAAACGCCGGCTTCGGGGAAATTAACTGTAACGATATCGCGTTAATCGCACAGGAGCGGGCCTCGCCGCTCCGAGTGCGCTTTCGCGGTCACGAGATTGCTCAGCATTTAAACTCCCTTTTCGCTGCCCCGGTTCCGCTTATCTCGTTCTCCTCACGATAATTAGCAATCGCCTTCTGATAGTACGTACTTACAAAACCGCCACTTCGCCGGCGTCATAACGATATCACGCTAATTGCGCTTTCGTTTCCACTCGAGCACACCTACTACCGTGCGGTCACGAAATTGTAGCTCGCCCGATCGTTACAGTCGCACGGCCGTCGGTCGTTATTACGAACGTACGTATGTAAGTACGTACGTTTGCTCAAAATACGTCATTAAATGCGGCTATTTTTTTCACCCCGCCGCAGTTTGACAAGCGTTAACGTAATTAATCGGTCGCTCCTGTAATCTAAATTTACACCGGCGCCAAGAGTGCGAAAGAATATTACAGAGTTACCTGTGTAACGCCGGAGGGAGCGTATTACGTATACCGTGGGGCGTACGTTACACCGCTGAAATTAGGAATTTCGTCGCCCAAGCTAATTTGCCAAAGGGTGCTAAAGAGCTGACCGCTCGGTCCGTGGCGGCGGTGCTTCTTTCCCGGCTTCCTCGTACTCGATTTCAGGCAGCGTGCGAGGTCTCCCGAGAGGGAAAGAGAGAGAGAGGGAGAGGGAGACACGCCACAAAGAACTTCGCGCACGTGATTGCACAGCTATGTGCCGGCAACGAACGGGAACGCATTTTTGCGAGCAGGAGCGAAGGGAAGAGGAGGGGGGGAGCCGGGAGGACAGCAACGTGTCGGACACGCGGGGCGCGTCGACGAAGGGCCCGTCGGGAGAGGACCCCTCGCGGAGGAAGCGCGGCGAACAGACGTCACGAAGGCGGTGGGAGGAGGACGTGGCGGGCACGCGGAGAGGTATGATTAATACGCGAGCATTATTTTCGGATTTTTTGCCGCGCGATCCGCGAGCGCAAATTGCTTGCAAATAAAGGCGGCGTCGGGCGACTATCGCCGCCGGTAGGACGACCGGCACGGCGGTGGCGGCGGCGGCGGCGGCGGGAACGACGGAAAGGAAGTCACGGAAGGAGGCCGAGAGGAGAGCTCGTCCCGAGCTTAATTTAATTTAATTATGCCCTCTTTCTTCGCTACCAGCGCACCCGAAGATAGATGGCGGCCACGGAATCTCGCACGTCTCGCCTCGGCTCGTCGCGCCGCCCCGTGCGAGCGTAACCGCGATTTCCGCGAAGGTAATTCGATTTCCATCCAAATTACGCGAGCCTCAAATTAACGACGAAGTCCTCGGATTCTTTTCTTGTTCCCGTGTAAATTGCATTGCGCCCCGCGATCGACCCCGCGAATTGTGTCCTTTTTTTTTCAGAAACGCGTTCGCCCTGTCCCAGAGAGATATAAATTGCCGTAATGGAGATTATATAATTAATAATTGATTATAAATATATATATTGACTCATCATTATAGGCGGAAAATATGCCATCATAGCAAAACTCCGTATTTAAAACAAAATTCAGTCCTTCATAACATGGCCGAAAAGAGATATTAAAATAAAGAAAAATGCATTTTGTAGGAGACGAACAATATATTCATGACTTCTGACCAGAATTTTAAGATAGCGTTAATCGTTTTCACAACAATTTTAAATATTGCGGAAAAGCCAATTTTTGCACATTAAACTTCATTTTATTTTGGAAACCTAATGTGCTGGTGAAATTTGGCTTGAGGCATCGTTTTTAGCATCCAAAAACCTACATCGTAAAGAACATTTTGTATTTATATTAAAATCGGTCCTTCTTAATTTTTTTATATCTTGTGTAAATTTGTAATATAAATTTGTAATATAAATTTGTAATGTAAATTTTTAATATAAATGTGTATTAATTTATATTATGTTTATATTATCTCAATACTTTATTTTGCGTCGATATTCAACATGTGTAAATGTTAAAATAACATAACATGTTCTACTTCAGTTTCGATTAATATATTAACTTTGTGTTAATTTTTAACACAATATTTGTGTTACTTTTCAACATATTCACCTTGTGTTAAATTAACACAAAAATTGGAATGGGACCGTTCGGGACGTGTGAAATATGTTCAAGTTAACGTACAATTTTTGTATAAGAAACACCTCGCTTGGTTCAAAAGAATTTTTGGCTGTAAACTAAATTGTTAACTAATCGTCGCTCAGTACACCTCAGTATATTGCATAACGGGATCCAGTCACTGGCCGTGCGTTTCGGCGCGGCCGATCCGCGATCTAATTCAATCGGCCGAGTTTATCCCCGTCGTCGGATATAGACTTTCGAGCGCCGCCTAGAGCGCGCATTGTTACCCGGCGCTAAACTTCGCGGGAATTAAGGCGGGCGCGTGATTGATCGCGACGATAAATCGATCGTCTTGAGCAACATCACGCCGTAACATATGTTTATCGCGCGATCTGATGAAAAGCCGCGCGCTCGCAATTTAATTTAATCGCGCGCGTTATTTCGTGCCGGCCGCGTGTGCGCGCATTTTCGAAACCCACCCAAGTGGCCATCTGCGAGCGGTCGCATTAGACGCGCGAGCGGAGCAAAGAGTGCGATATTTATTCGTAATGCGCATCGCAATTCGTCGTGCCGCGGCATCAGTCATAGTCATCGCGAGCGAGCGTGCGCGCGCTCATAATGAACCGTACGATTAGGATATCCCGTTCGTTCGTTCGTATGTACGTACATACGTCCGTTCGTTCGTTCGGCGAATGCGTTCCAAGGGAGTAAGCGAGGCTCGCGGCGAATAAAAAGATGTTTCACGGAAACAGGTGCGGATTTATGTGGGAACCGATTCGAGTTAAACTTTGGGCCGCGTACTGCCGAGAATTTTCCGGATAATTTCTTTTGGCAATATTTCCCAACATTCTTTAAAATTCGAAAAGAATATAATAAAGAGCAAAAGAGTATGATTGATTTTTATAAATAATAATTCTTTAGGATTGTTCCCTCTTTTTTGGATAACAAGTGTCCTTTATTTATATCAGTTGACATTTTCAATAGAAAATCACTTTAGAAAGTAATAATTATTTATAATATATATTTATTTATCTGAAAAATCGCTTCTGGAAAATTCGCTTTACAAAGTAATATTTATTTATAATATATATTTATTTATCTGGAAATAACAATTATAAAAGATTTTGAAAGGCGGACGGGAGGAGTCCCTAACTGACAAATATGTTTACCATTTATTATTTGTTAATTTAATATTAGGTGACTGATTATTATTTATATATTGTAATTTTTAACTTATATTTTTGCGTTATTATTATTCAAATCTAATTTTACATGTTTATGTCGTTACTTATTTATTAATTATCATTATACATTTAGGAAAAGCAATAAAACCAGATGCATAGTCAATGTTGTGCCTTTTCTGCTATCTTCAATACTTTAGACTCTGTAATCATTAACTACCAGTAAGGGAGATGTTGTTGTTATTGTTGTTATTGTTGTTATTATTATTATTATTATTATTATTATTAAATATACGGAGGCACAAGATGGATGCTCGTTAGTATTTTCCGGAAAATATATTTTAGTGTACATGGATGACATCTGTCATTTACGACCACTCTAGCGTCAAAAGTGTAATCAAGCGCAAACGTGTAGCAACAGCATTTTAATTGAAATAAAACACATACACACGAGCTGATCGAAACGATACTGATATCTTTAAAGAAATCCTGAAGTCGTCCTGTCTTACCGTAAATTTCTTAATATATTATACTCGTTACTGCACAGAATTAAAAATCTTTTGGCGCAATTAAGATACACACATTAATGTATACAAAGGTGATGTAGGTGATTTGTTTTATTCGTAAACCGGAAAAAGTTATATAATTTGTTAATTCTTTCCGTTTTTCGGACAAATTCAACCGTCCTCGCCTACATGGGTGTTATAATTATGCAAAAGGATTTCTAATTCTGTATTTCTAATTCTGTACACCTAGAAACGAATATAGTACTAAGAAATTAGCGATAAAACAGGATGACTCTAAGAACTCCCTAAGTTCTCCTTTACATGGTATGCGTATAAATTCCAAAAACGATCACCTTTAGGCACCGAGGAGTCATCATCCGCCCCTGCACGGAAAGGGGATAATCCTCATTACCGCGAGATATGCGCAGCTTGAGTCCGATTAACGCGACGAGGAAGGAGGGACGCGGACCCGGGCAAGAAAGGGCC